AGACATTAAACACTCGATGGGAAACATGTGGAAGTGTTAACCATCATCTTAAGCCTGCTTCTCCACCCTCTCACCCTCAGTATGCATAGTGTCTTCACATTTTTATGAACATTTCAGTTCTATGTCAATGCATTTCAACAATATCCATGTTTTCCCCCTTCTGTCTAGTTCATACTTCCAGGGAGCCTGGCTGGTTGGAAGGGACTCTTGATGGGCGAACAGGACTGATACCAGAGAACTATGTTGAGTTTGTATAATTTAACGGCATACATGAACTGGAAGATTGTGGATGGGAGTAGACCAAACTGGATTTTAATGAACTATATTTAACTTCAGAAAACTAAACAGATTGAGGATACAGGCTCAATCACTTCTATTGTACTGGACGGGACCAATGCAGATAAGGTGACTTTTTGTTTTGATCAGACTGGAAACTGAAACTGGACCAAGCAGAACCATATCCAATAGATATGACACAAAAACAAAGCATACCGAAGTGGGGAGAGAACCCTGAATTGCACTGGGGAATGAAAACATATATAAAAAGACGAGACTGCTTTTATTTGATTAGCGTGCGTGGCTTTTAGTCTTGGTGAAGACTATATGGGAACAAACCCAAATTTGTGTGTGTGTGAGCGAAAGAGAGAGAGAACAGTGGGAGGAAGTTAGACAAACTTGTATAAATGATTTGATATTTTTCAGCTGCAATGTGTGTGAGTTCTTTGCTTTTATATTTTGAACTGCACTGTCCCTCACTCCAACCACCTTTTCCACACACTCCTTTTTTTTGGTTAGGTATAAATAGGCAACTGTTTCTGCAGAGATGTTGACAGGACGTATTAACTTTGGACTTCACCTATTGTAGAATTGATTAGTAATGCCAAATGGGACAGTTAAGCTTTAAAAGTTGACTTAAATGATTGGGTTTGGCTTTATGGCTGTAAATGTGTGAGCACTGCAGAAGTGCAGTTATTGCCTGGGACAAGACTCAACCTGGCTAATGTTTCAGAGCTCCAGTTAAGCATCAGGAGCCCCCGGGCAGGTCGGCACAGGATGAGTTTTCTTTGGAACTAGTTCACTCAAAGGTCAGCTATGGGTTTCTCTTTATTTATAATTTTTCCCCTGCAGAGCCCTCGCATAAAATGCGAAAAATTTCAAATAATCCCCACAAGCCCATCAGCAATTTAAAATGCAACAAAGGCAGAACAGCTGATTCCTGTCAGTTAAAACAAGCCCAGCTGTGAGGCATCACCATTTCAGTCCATTCAGGAAGACTGAATGAACTTGGGAAAAACATGTTTATTTATAATATTTTCTTTTAGTTTTAGCCATTATGCAGATTTAGTTACTTGGTTATCTTGGATGCTTAAATCTTGACAGCACGGTGCGACTGAAAAATTGAAATAATTTTGAAAGTCAAGGTATCACACAGTCTTTATTGTTCCATGCCCTTTATACCTCATCACTTTACTTAATATTTCAAAAAAATGTAAAGTTAAGCATCCCTCAAGAGTTGAACATTCATAGTTTCTTCTTTACGCCTAATTTTTCCTGTGTAGGAAACAAGATTACATGATTATCTAATTTAACCATGGCTGACCTAGTTGAGTTATTCTTTGATCAAAAATTTACTGCCCAGCCTGTAATTTGTAAATACATTCAGTTCAGATACTTGAAGGGGGAAAAGGTGATAGATTTTTCAGAATTGTTTTTACTTGTGTATAAAAGCTGGTCAGCTTTGTGGCTTGCTCATTCCTTGAACCACTTGTTAAGAAAATTATTTTTCCCCATTTTATCCTGTATCCAGTTTATAAATTCAACAGAAAAATCAAATGGGAGAGTAAAAAAAGCTTAAATGTGAAATAAGACTACTTTATTCAAATCTAAATTTTTTATTTATGAGATTACTTAAAGGCTAAATCCTGCACGGCATTCTTTTTGGGGTGTTTTCTTGACTTTGTAAATAAATACACAGTATTTGATAAGGTATACTTTTTTCATTATGAAATTTTATATTTTGTATTTTTAGCATACTAATTTAATTCCTTAATTCCATCTTTGTTGCCCTGATTTTTTGTATCATTTAAATCCTGCAGCCTTAAATATTCTTTTGAATGTTTTTGTGAAAAATGTGCAGAATTAAAGACAAATCTTGAACAGCTGTAGCTTGAAGTTTTCTTTCTAGTTTCCAATCCTGATTCCGATTTTTGTCTTCTGGTTTATTATTAATAATGTGTAATTATTCATCCTGTAATCCCTACTTTATATTTAAAAAAAATTGTGCATAAAAACAGCTATTATTGTTTTATCCTTTTTATTCGTTTTTATTTTTAATTTATTTTTGTTTTAATACGGTTTATTTTCAGTTAGTTTCCAGAGTGGAGTCGTACGTTTAAGTTGAGTTTTTAAAAAAAAAAAGAAAAAGTTTAAATGTTAGATTTAGGCTTTTAACTTATTACTGTATAGAGAGCATACAGAGGCAAGAATTGAGAAAATCAGCATAGGTATAGCAATAAAAGCGCTAAAAAAGTATAAAAACTAAAGATATTTCTGCAATATTTTTATTTTAGGTTTTTAAAATTAACAGAATAGATTTGTTTTAGTTGACTAGAACAACTTTGATGCGCTACACTAGAATTTGAGTGGATTGGCTCATAGGTAAGCAGAACTATTCTCTCTTGCTAAACAGCACTTTGACACAAGGTTAGGCCATCAGTCAGCTGCACTGGACTTCATATTAAGTCATGTTTTTACAGTTTGGATTCCTTTTAAGTAAACGTTTACTGATGTTTATTTAAATTTAGAATCTACTTGTGGTGAGTCATAACTTGCAGCTAAGATGACATGAAAATGTAAGCTTTAAGTTTCAAGCACTCGTGACTGCAGGCTAATTCATTAGCACTTATTAGTTAATTTATAAATGCATTTACATGCTTTCTTTCTCATAAAAGACAAAGAGACTGATACCAGTACATTATGTGTGGGGCTAGCATCGGGAGGCAAATAGCTTACATATAGTTTAGCTTAGCATAACAGCTATATGACACAGGAAGGATACAGCTGGCCTCTTTTCATATTTAAGAACATAATACAACCCAGTCCATACATAAAAATCAGATTTCTTGCACACATGCTCTAAATGTTCACTATATTGCCAAAAGTACTCACTCACCCATCAAAATTATTGAACTCAGGTGTTCCAATATCTTCCATGGCCACAGGTGTACAAAATCCAGCCGGTATGCAGACTGATCTGGAAACATTTCTGAAAAAAATGGGTCGCTCTGAGGAGCTCAGTGAATTCCAGCGTGGTACTGTGAAGGGATGCCACCTGTGGATTATGGTGTGAGGGCATTTGTCAGGATTGGCCCCTTAGTTCCAGTGAAAGGGACTCTTAACGCTTCAGGAACCAAGACATTTTGAACAACTTCATGTTCTCCACTTTGTGGGAACAGTTTGGGGATTAGGGTCACCCCTTCCTGTTCCAACACAGCTGCACACAAGCAAAGTCCATAAAGACGTGGATGAGCAAATTTGGTGTGGAAGAACCTGACTGGCCTGCACAGAGTCCTGACCTCAACCTGACAGAACACCTTGGGGATGAATTAGTGCAGAGACTGTGAGTCAGGACTTCTCGGGACTTGAAGATGTTATTGCTGCAAAGCTTGAGCCAACATCATATTAAACTGTGAGGATTAAAAAAGTCACTCTAGGTCAGAGTTGTGTGAAAGCAGATGAGCAAAAACTTTTGGGAATATAGTTTACTTGTATGTTTGGGCTTGTTTCTTTTTTTTCTACAAAGAGGTCTGTGCACCTTGTTAGAGCTACGCCATGAAGAATTAAGGTAAATTTAGAAGACAAAAGGGGATCCAGCCTGGAACTAGCAAGGTGTGTCTAATGAAATTACCAGTGTTTGTGCTTTTGGACATGCCATATATTAAAAACATGTAATAATAATAACAATAATAGTTAAAATAACAATAGTAAATAACTATTTCACAATTTAAAGAATAGTAGTGCAAGTTTATATTAATTTCTACAGTTACTTTATACAACTATGCAAGTTTAAACCTCTCCACTAATATTAGGCACAGAAGCCACACTTCATATTCAGGGAATTTTATTGTGAAAGGAAGGAATGGGACGACTTCATTCTGCACATTCATAGAACACAATACACTACACATAAATGTGTGTGTGCGTTTAATTTAATTAGTTACATAACTTTAAAAAGGAAAAATGTGAAATGAGCAAAATAAAAATAAAATATAACTGTTTCTTTAATTTTGAAAAAGAAAACTCATAAAAATGAACTAATAGCTAAAATATTATTTTTAGTAGTTCTGTAAAAGTCAGGCTAAACATTTTTAACATTATGTAGGTCTGATAATATACTGGTATACAAATTAGCAAGATAAAGTGTGGCCTCAACACAAAGTCTGTTTCCATGTTTGTGTCTTACATGATCAGGAATTGAGCAACCATAATTGGCACATCGTCCCCCTGAAGGGTCTTATCCATCTATCACATTTTAAGGCTAGTCATGTTGCCAAGCAACCACCATCCAATTGACTAAAATAAACCCTTTGCAATGTTTATGCACCTGGAACAGCTTATAAAAGCATTGTATAATTTTATTTTCATGGCAGAAATATCTAACTCATAACCTCAAACTTTCATTATGCGTGATATATTACTATGCCATCGGCTTGGCTAGCAACCACTTAACAGACTAAAATCTCAGACTTAACAAAATCATGGGCATGTACTGGTAACGTAAAAATGTCAGATAATAATGGTTCAATAAATTTAATCTAACACATAAAAGGAATCCGTGGCAGTGAAAGGACGTATGCATGTTTTCACGTGTATGTTTATCAAATCATGTTTCCAGTACATGATTCCAGATTGGGCAGTGAGACCTGTTTTGATATATCAAAATGAAGCTTATTTTCCTTAACTCTGTTCCAAGTCAAAAAAATGAAATCCATGTAGCTGAGTGTTGAAAAACAGGAGACTTTATTGTGTAAGATGCTTTTAACTAAAGAGCAATCAGTTCTTCCAAATTTCCACTCTCGATGTCAAACCCAATGTCAGAGAACGACACGTAACTTAATTCAACATTTAATCAAATAGGTGAAACTATTGACACCGACTACAGGAAGGGTGTAATACAGAAGTAATACAAACTACTGTTTTTTTAATGGTTTGTATTTTTTTTTTTAAACATTGGATTACATTTACATAACTGAAATACGAAGAAAACAGACTTTAGTGAAAGCTATAGCCATATATACCAGTGAAACATGATCTGCCCTTAATCTTTAAAGATAACATTTGCATGTATTTTATACAAAATAGATTATATCAAACAATATCAGGGTAGTGCAATTCTGTCAGGCTCTGGTAAATTTTACTTTCATATGGAGAGTCAACATTTTAAATTTTCTTTTTAAAGTGACCAGTAAATCCTCACAGAACAATACATGGGGTCCAAAGCCACGACCTTTACAAAAGACATCTTTAAAATAAAACAAGAAGTACTAGAAGTTGGATAGTAAGTGCTACTCAAAATGTAACTTGAATACTTCTTTTGTTAATTGTTGTTTTCTCCTCTGCTTTGGTCACTCTTATATAAATCTCCACCAGTCTTTCTCTGTCCCACTCCCTCATTTCCTTATCTTCAAAAACACAGTGAGCTTTCATGTAGACTTTTTCATGGACTTGTAGAATTTACATTTACTTCACAAGACAAACATGTTCAACACTTCCTTATGGATTTAACACATCTACCTTTATCAAACACAAACCAACAAACAGAAAAATATTTACTTTCTTGACTCATTCAATGTACAAAAATGACTGAGCAAAATTAGTCATATCAAAGAGGATCAAGCTGATGTAATCAAAATCACAGAAAATATCATTTTTACAATAGATCAATCTCTAAAAGCATCGATATATGTTAAGGGTTTATCTATTTCCTGATGTGAAATCTTATTTCTATGGCTCTCTGGCTCCCTTTCGCAAGGCCTTTAATCGAGCATGAAGGTGAAATGCAAAAATGTTCTGTAGTCTTACATGATGTTTACATTGCACTAGATATGCTAGCATTGCTATATGCGCCTATAGCCATTCAGAAATAAGCATCAATATGGTTACATCTACATGTTAAAGCTGGTTTTCTGAAGCACCACCACCTTGGAACAACTGTAATACCATCTCCAAGTTATCCAACCAAATAGTTTAGTCAAATTTTCTCTAGAATAATCAACACACAGTGATGCGAGCAGCAACAAGCCCGTGTTTTTTTACAGCACAAGGACACGCAGCACAGTTAGAAGGTGGAGCTGAAAGCCTGCACTGTCAATGAAACAACCCTGAAGCGAGTGACCACCCCTAAAAGAAAAAAAAGAAGAAGAAAAGATGGCTCTTATTCAGCAGTGGCTTGTATGCTTCCAGTGCCCACTGTGCTGTTAGCCGTAACTAACATACAAATGACCAGTCTCTATGGCAACCTGCTTACCTGGTCTCTGCTAATTGGCATTCAGAGTTATGTGCAGCAGAGGGGTGAGTACTGTTCAGAGTAAACAGCTGAAAACCTGTACAGTTGAAATTTAGGCAGAGAGGCCTGACAGTCATAAGACACATACGGAGGAAAGTAACTGTACTCTACAGGAGGTGGTGAAGGGCATTTTGTTTTAACACTTCCGGCAGAAGCCAGCATACAACTGCACTGCATTTTGCTTTGGCCATCACACAAGCTGGTATGGATTTTCACATTACAAATGTATTTTGAAAATTCAAAAATACAATTTTTTTGTTGATCACAAAAAGGTTTATCGTACAATTGGCTAAATGATAACAATCAGTACTTTAAGCTGGTGTAGGTGTGACACTGAACAATCCTTTTTTTTTGTAATTATTTTTGTAAATAAATGAGCACCCTGAAGCAAAGTTACAACAACCACTTAATGTCAGATCAGAAGTACTCTGTCACATCTCCAGAAAAGAAAAAACCCAAAACAAAATGGGTTTTTCCATTACATTAGGAACAAGTAGAGCGCATCCATGTGAAGTAATCACTCACTTCCTGAGGTTGGATTCACAAATCAATAGACCAACGTTTTGAGCTTTAGAGGGGAAATATTTTTAAAACATAGGTTTCATCAATTATGGGTATCCATTTCACGTCCAGTATACAAAATAAATATTTTATTTTAAACAAATATATTTTTGTATTTTCACAATGTTGGCACAGCAGCTCCATATAATAAGTCCTGATTTTGCAAGTACATTCAGCTAATGGTAATTAAAGGGAAATATTAAATCAAAATGGTATCTTGAGGGAAACCATCAATGTTATGCCTTCATTTCCTATCATGAGTGCTATGTTGCTACCATTTTTGAGCCAGTTAAACCTTTTACTTTGAAAAATGAAAAAATGACAACAATCCTAATGGTAGTACCTTTTGGGGTCTGACATATTGAAGCAGGCCCTTTGATACTTCGGATGGCTTTTTCAAATGCATTTTCGTTATAAAACACTTTTTCCCCCAAATGCAATTAAAGCATAAAAAACTTTTTAAAGATAGAAATCCTAAAATTTAAGTCAGTCTGCTCCCAAGTAGTACAAAACATTAAATGTGTCTTTAATTTTAATTTTAGCAGTACCCATTTAGATCAAAGCTGGCTGAAGCTTAAGCAAGAAAAAAAAAGCTATTTGTAGGTGCATTCATTGTATACGCTGGGTAAACTTTTAACAGAATTTAATACCGACTGGGAGAGGCAGCAAATTTATCTAATATACTTCACATGGATAATAAAATATCAAAAAAATTTGTTTTGGGACTTTTTTTTTTTTTTTTGCAAAGTGATAAAACTAAACATTTAACATTACTTATCTGTACCATAGGCTGTGTTCCTACATGCAGAACAGGAGATAAGAACAAAAGGGAGAGTTTTCCACATTAAGAACACTGAAACGGCAGCTTGGAAATAGAAAACAGAAATTACAACGCGGAAATAAAGAAACAGACAAATCATGTGGAAAGATGTCGACATCAACTTCTAATGCAAAAAAACCTACAGCTTACAGTGGATGGCTATGAAGAGCGTAAAAACTAAAAGGCACTGGTTTTCCCTCAGGTACATCCTGTGTAAACATTTGGCTGAGTGAGTGTGTGCGTGTGTGTCTCTTGCTTCTGTATGTGACTTGAATTGTGTTACTGCATAAAATAAATAGAGAATATGTCTCTAGCTGATTTCTTTTCTCAGTGGTCTTGTGTAGAATTGTGATTTGAATAATTTCTGAAGTGATAAGTAATTCACAGCAGGAGGGACACTAGGCTTGAACTGCTAATCCTTTCAAGTTGCAAAGTATACAAGGTGTAATGTTCTTGGAGGAAAAGGTGTTTGTACTCTATATGTTAGCTTCTCTGTGAAAACTGCAGTAAAATACTAGAGGCTTGAATTAATATGAGGCACATAGCCATTGTAAGAAAGCATTAAAAATACAAGCACAGGGCTATGGGTGTAGAGTAGGTGAGGGAGGACTGAAAAAAAAAATTGCCCAAAATGCATCCACCCCAAGAGACATTCATAGTCCAACTAAGAGGAAGGGCTATAGGTCGGTTATAGGATACTATGGCAGGACTAGGACTGGGATGGGGGCTTGAGGCCACAGGTATTGTGCTCCAAGATTAGGCTGAATGGCTGAGCCCCGAAGGGGCGTGGCAGAATTTCTAGAGGAGGCCCAGGAAAAACTGAGAAACTGAATCAGAGCGATGAGGGAGGCAGGATATGTAAGCTAGGGGCCCCTGGAGAGGTATATGTGCAGGGCAGGATTTAAGGCATTGATTCACAATTTAAGGCAGTCATTTCTGATGAAACAGCAGAGCTTTGACGTTTCCATCTTTGAATTTTGGTATCTGGTTGGAAATGATCTCTGCCAGCATCTCCGGAAATTCCACACTGAGGGTTTTATTCACAAAGGTGTAGAAACAGATCTGGAGAAGACCCTCGACCATCTGGTTAAGACACAAAGAGGTTAGTAAGAGTTGTTTACTCACTTTACTTAAAAGGATTTCCCTTAAAGTGGAGTAGGTTCTAAATGCAAGATCTTTACGTCTGCAACAAGTTTTTACAGAGAGGCAGAAGGGGAGAGTGCTAAAAACTAACTTGATTGAAACTTAATGCACTACACAGAATATGAGTGTATTCTTTAGGTGGAAAAGACCTGGCTGGTATTAAAAAAAAACAAAGAAAGCCAATCTATGGGATAAATATCAAGAAAATGCTATATGAAACAAAGTAGCCTAAAAACACTTAAACGTGTGTGTGTGTGTGTTTGTGTGTTTCACTTGCCTCCTGCATGGAGTCAAGTAGCTTAGTTAACTGGTAGAAGCGTTGCCAGTTCTGACTAGGGTTCTCCTCCCTCTTGACGATGGCTTTTCCCAGCTCCTTGATATAGGTCATCCTGATCTCATCAAAAACTGCTTGACTCTTCAGGCCATCTTTTGGTACTGCACACACACAGAGACAACACAGAGCAATATATCAGTATCATTTAAAAAAAAAAATTAAAAATACGATTTTTTCCCATGTTCACTTGGAGCTGGTAAGCTTCAAGGACACTGTTGCTCTGTTAGGCTAGTGGTTAACATAGGAAGGGGTTCTGAACGTATAAATTAAAAAAAAAAACACACACATAAAAGTAAGACAAAGCTTTTATCAAAGAATTTGTCCTTATCAGGTCTGTGTCTGCTGTTCGTGTGGCAAAAAGAGTTAGGTGAGAAGTTTGCATTCAGACACAAATGATCAACACTCTTCTGGATCAGAGAAGACTGACAGAGTATATTTCTCATTTCATCAGGTGCCAAATGTTTTCAGTTGCTTAAAGGGCTGAACTACAGGCAGGCTTTGCTACTATGAAGCCATGCTTTTTAACAGCTGATGTTTAGGATTGTCTTGCTCAAATATGCCAGCCTTGCCTGTAAAAGAGGTTATCTGGATACCCTGAAGCCTGTATACACCTCTCAGTATTGATAGTGCCTGAGGGTCTAATGCACCCCCCCCATACCAGAGATGCAGGTTGGGAACTGAGTTCTGATGACAAACAGGATGGTCTCCAATTTTCCAAAAAGAACTTCAAACCACAGAACAGTTTCCACTTTTCCTCAGTCCAGTTTAAATAAACTTTAGTCCAGAGAAGATGACAGCGTTTCTGGATCATGATCACACACATCGCTTCCTCTTTGCATGATGGAGCGTTAACCTGCATTTGCGGATGGCTGTATTGACAGACAGTGATTTCTGGAAGTGTTCCTGTGCCCATGCGGTGATTTCCATGACATAATTTAGCTGCTTTTTAATGCAGTGCTGCCTGAGGGGCCAAAGATCAGAGGCATTCAATATTGATTTTTGGCCTTGTCCCTTGCACATGTACTGTAGATGATGAGATTCTTTGAGATATCCTACAGTCTTCGCAATTTTACATTGCGGAACTTTTTCCTAAAATTATTCCACAATTTGTAGACAAAGTTTTTAGCAGACTGGTGAACATCTACTTTTCTTTACTTCTGAGAAACTCTGCCTCTCTAACATGCTCTTTTTATTCCCAGTCATGGTACTAAGCTGTTGTAGCTGTTGCTGCCAACAAATTCAAAATGACCTTATTTTATTTTTTGGTAAAGAAATGTATGTTTTCTGTGTACTGTTATGAATGAAATATAGATTTATGAGATTTGAAAATAATTGCAGTTTGCTTAAAATGTTCCAAAGTTTTGGAATTTGGGTTAAAAGTAGTACCAGCTGCAGTGCAAGGTGTCACTTTTGCTTTTTAAATCAGGACATTTGAATACCCTTCAAAATGATTCTCTGCGTTCAAATGATATATTAAAGAGGACACACTGAGGACTTTCGCTGTGCCGGTCACTGCTGAAAAGCAAAAACTTCAAACTTGAAAAACAATACAGTTGTATCAGCACATTGTGGACTCTTGTCAGTCTGGTGTCAGGCAGTGAGCCGCACAGTTTAGCAGTGACTTGCAGTGATTGTGCTAGGCAACAATGGCACTGCAAACTCATTAAACAACTTGTGTTTTCTTATTCTATGACCTATAAATTCTTTATTGAGTTATTTATGTTTTGTGGTGCTTTCACGCTGCTGAGCATTCTCTATTCTCTATATTTAACTAAATATGACAGTATATCAAATAGTCTTATAAGTGACTTGAAATTCCATATAATGTGTGCGAGAATGGATAAAAGCAGCTCAAACCAAAGTTGTCCCATCTAATAGTATTTCCATCCCTGAGGGAAACGGATGGAAATCGCTCTAAGGTACAAAAATGCAGCCGGTGCACAGTATGGAAATGTAATTTCCTCCTGCATAACAAGCTAATTGCTTCTGAAGTGCATCCTCTTCTTCGCCATTCTCTGAGAATAATGCTCTCCATCACAGACAAGAAAATTTGAAATAAGTGGGAAAGGTCTGATTTAGTGATACTGTTTTCTTGTGTAGCATGTAGGGTTACGTTACTGATTGGTAACCCACAGCTTTCATTATTTGACCTCTTCAAACATTAAATAAAGAGAGGCCTGATGAACACTGCCTATTTGAGTCTGTCCTTTAACAGCCTTTACTAATTTATACACAGCAAATAAAATGCAGTTGGAATAAATTTACAATTTGTAAAAATGTCTTCTGAATCCAATTTTAGCTAAACTAAATTGTTAAAAAAGAAAATTAGTTTTTGTTTTTTTTTAATAATGTGCTTTCACTGGACACTCGTACATAAAAGAAGATTAAACAGCAGTAATAAAAAAGCTAACTGTTTTTATTCAGTGAGATAAGAAACACAAAAGTTATACTAATTCAACTCTCAGTGGAGCCTCTAGTATGGAAATTAAATGACTCTCTACCAAGGTACGATCTGTGAAAGGACTGCACTTTCACAGAGCAGTAACATTTAACAGAAGGCATCTAAAAGAAAATATCACATTGTTACATCGCAGATTGGTGAAGAATGTCAAAAGAACATCAAACTTGCATATTTTGATAGTAACAGTAACACCCGGTCTTTTCTGTGGCATTTTGAATTCATGTGTCCTTCTAAAAAGAAATGGCTCCATGTTCGATCGCTGAATTTCAGAACTGAAGAAGACCCCTGAAATAAAACACTTAAGATACACTTTAAACCAAACAATGAAGTTAAAGAAAATGCAAGACAAGTGCTTGAAATGGTTTAGGGTACATAACACCCTGTGAACGTAAAGTGACATAAAGGTCCAGCGAGCACTGACAGACACACATAATAATGCATCTACAGAACAAAACATCTACTGTGCTTTTGTCAGCAGACTGGGTTTAAATTATTGCAGACAGGAATGTTACTGTTCTGCCGTTATGCCTCTGACAGTGTAGACACTTGCGGCATGCTTACCATTTGCTGCTGTCAGCAGTGATTTTAAACAGGATCTTTGAACTGCAGTATTAAAACATACAACCACCGGCCACTTCATTAGGTACACAAGTTGATCTGCTTGTAATGCAAATATCTAACCAGCCAATCATACAGCAGCAACCCAATGTATTTACATATATAGATGACCTGCTGAAGGTTCAAACTGAGCATCAGAATCGGGGAGAAAAAAGGTGATGCAAGTGCACACGGGCTGATCTGAATATTTCAGAAACCGGTGATCTGCTAGGATGTTTCTGTTATAGGGTTTACAGAGAGTGATCAAAAAAAGGAGAAAATATTTAGTGAGTGACAGTTCCCTTGGCAAAAATTCCTTGGTGATGCCACAGGTCAGAGGAGAATGACCAGATTGCGCCCATAGGAAGACAAAAGTAACTCAATTAGCCCTCATTACAGGCAAAGTGTGCAGATGAGCATCTCTGAATGGACAACACATCAAACCTTGGAAGCAGATGAGCTACAGCAGTAGAAGACTACACAAAGTGCCACTCCTGCTGGCTAAGAAAAGGATACTGAGGCTGCAATTTGCATGGGCAATAGAAGATTGGAAAAGTACTGCCTGGTCTGATGAGCCTCGATTTCTGATGTGATATTTCAAAATTTAGTGTAAACAACAAGTCAGCATGGATACACCCTATCTTGTATCAGTGGTAGAAGTTAGAGGATATTTTCTTGGCCCAATTGGCAACTTAGTACCAACTGGTCATTATTTAAACACCACAGCATACCTGAGTATTGTTGCTGACCATGCCAATCCCTTAATGACCATATTATGATCAATCCTGATAGCTCCTTCCAGCAGGACAACATGCCATGTCACAAATATCAGATTTTCTCAAATGGGTTTCTTGAATTAGACAGTGAGTTCACTGTACTCAAATAGCCTTAACAGTCACCAATCTCAAGCCAAAAGAGCACCTTTGGGATGCGGTGGGACAGGAGGTTTGCCTCATGGATGTGCAGCTGACAAATCTAAAGCAACTGCGTGATGCTATCATGCCAATATGGACCAAAACCTCTGAGGAATGTTTCCAGCACCCTGTTGAATCTTTGCCACAAAGGCGATGCATTACTGATAAGTAATGAAATTTGTGGCCTTTAGCAGCAGCAATCAAAATCCTCTGCGCATTTATCAAGAGGAACATGACCAGAACAGCCCTACTGTGACAAATTGCAAGGAAATGGAAAAAAGCTGCAGCTGTATAACACAGTAGATACAATAAAAAGTGATTTTTCCAGTCCAGCAGAGAGACTTTTGAAAAACACTGCTGTCATTTTTCTAAGTGAATTGTGTTCCATTACCTGTACTGAGCAGTAACAGCACCTTCATGCACAGGTACTCTTCGTAGGACACCTGCAGTCTGACAAACTCATTACAGATCTTCAGCATCTGCTCGCACTGGTCAGTCATGAAGGGCAGCTTCATGCGATCTCTGTGAGAGGAGAGGAAATGTAGAGCAGGTGAAGACAAGAAACAGAAGAAAACAGAATTAAAAGAGACACACAGGTTAGAGTTGGAGCTGTTTCACTCATGCTGTTATTCAATTCCCAATAAATAGCCCTGGCAGGGATGTGTTACATCCTTGCAGGAGAAATACAGACTCTAAAATCAGTCATGATGGATTTTCACACCTCACTTCCACTAACACACAGCCCACATTACTTTTTTTCTTAGAAAATCAATACAGCACATTCTCCTGATACACAGCCTTGGGCTGAGCGCTGTCTACTCTTTCTGACCAACTGCAGTGCCATCGGCAATGACTCCTTCACATTTCATATCTATTTTTTACTCCTCTCTGGAGTTTTTGGACGCGACATCTTGCAAACAGCTCAGGGCTTTCTTTCTAACCATTTTCAATAAAAAGGTTGAGCTGTTTGCAAGATGTCGATGTTTTTAGCACTGTTTACAAATGTAGAACAACTGGATGGGTCTTTCAGAAATCCCAGCAGGTATTTAAATAGCTTAATAGTTCAGTTCTATTTACCTGAATTTGCTTTCTACTGTAAGAAAGAAAACCCCAACAATCATATGATCCCCTATGAGCAAGCAATAGTGGGAGGGAAGAGCTCCCTATTAATGGGAAGAGACCAGACTCAGGGAGGGGTAGTCACTTGCTGTTACAAATAAATGGCAAATGGCAACAAAAAAAAAATGAGGCTATGTAATCAACATACTGCAGACTAACCTGAGCCCTGCCTCTGTGGCATAGAAAATTATTTACAGTATAGTTCATAATGCAGTTGTTCCTGTATTTTTTTGAATTACTTGAGTAGTGTAACTCTTGAAGTGTTTACAGACTATTATTACAGATATTTGATTCCTTATACTTTATTTTTTTCTAGCCTCCCTAGTCATTGTCTCTTGTATATGATTTCCTATTTAGTTACTTCCTGTTTTATTTTATTAGTCCCCATGTGCTTTGATATTAGTTTTGTTGCCTTTTATGTCTCCGTTTATCCATTTATGTCTTAATTAGTTTCAGCCGTGTCTTGTTACCCTGGCGTTTCCACTCTCCCTGATTAACTCCTGTGTATATTAAAAACCTAAGTTTGTATTTGTTCCTTGTTGAGTCATACTGTGTTCCTGGGTGTGCTATCTGCAGGATTAATGGTTTTAAATATTTATTATTATTTTTATTTTCCCCCCTTTTTCGGCATTGCCTTAATCAAGGTTTTTTGTGTTTATGAAGTTTGCCTCAGAAAAAGTGCATTTGGACCAGGAACCTGCGAAACGTGGCAATAACAGCTGATGTTCTGGCCTAGCTTATTTATTCATGGGGCCTTTTTGTTGCTTCTGAAAATTAGGTGAGAAGGTCAGTCCTGGGCTCATGTCTGCTTCTTAAGAAGATTAACATACAAACTGGATGAAGTGTTAAGCAGCCTACACAGCTTGGCGATCAGCAAAAACTAGCGAACACCCTTTCCCACGTCCCTCATAATAAAACACAGAACTGGAGTTTAGATTTCAGCAAAAACTATAACCATATTCTCATTGTTAGACAGCAAATTCTCATTTACATGTGACTTTATCCCTCAGCCTTCTGACCTGATTTCTATACTGAGTCACAAAGCTGAGTCACAGATAAATGGTTAACTTTGTAAGTCAAATGATGAAGTGAGACTAACACCGTAAAATGAGCAAATGGAAAAACAAAACCGCTCAAATATTAGAACAGCTGTGATTGTTACCCACTTGTTGATGACAAGATCAGGGGCGAAACAAAGCATGCTGCCATTACACTGCTCGTATGACCTCCAGCCAAGACTGAAAGACATGAGAAAGAGCCAGGAGCACTGCAGCAGAGTCATCTGGTCATCAAGGTGCAGATTGCGGAAGCCTAAGGACGTAAAAAGACTGTTAGAACAACTAAAACCAGATAAACAGAAGTTCATAAAACAACCACAATAACAATTTCAAAGATGCAACACCAAAAAGAGACACCAAATACTGTCTGTGATTTTTTCTCTCTCTAGGACTGACGGTCTTCAAAACAAAGCAAGCTATGAGGTTATTACAAATGTGCTAATATGTAAGCACTGGGGGTGCAACAAAACACAAAATTCACGGTTCGGTTCGATATTTTTTTCGATACAAAAAAAAATGTTCATGCCTTTTTAATTTGTCATTTATTAAATTTTCACGGCACATTCCGCACCACATCTCTGTGCGTTCATCATTTGTTTGAAGCCAGCTCACCTCCTGCAACTACTTTTCCGAGAATACGCGCTTCTTTTGTGGTTCGGACTCCTTCTGACATTTCTTTGGAGGTGGAGGAACATCACAGTAATTGCTTAAAGGAGCTTCTTCGACACCTTTAAGACTTCTAAACAAATGTCTGTCCTCCTCCTGAAAATCTTATGTATGCAAACACGCGTTGCAACTTCTTATCTTGTGCCCGTTTTTTATTTTGACAGCGAATGCGCACCTGCGGACCACTTATGTGCAGCCCTGGTTATTTCGCTCGTCATATTGCAGCCACAGAAATTATTTTGTCCATGAAACCATAAAGCTGCACTTTCTTTTTGCCTTATAGTCTGATTTGTCATAACTTTTCCGTTTTGTGGTAAGCTTTTCTTTGGCTGTCACTTCTTCACCCTGACCTGTCTTATTTGGCTCAGCAGAACTAAAATATTGTGGCGAGCTCAGACAAGGAGGAGACGGAGGTGTCGTTTGGTCTTGCTTCCCGTGAGCTAGCCAAGGAGCACAGCCGTTTATTGACATCTGCAGAAGACGTCACCCGTCACTATGGAAACATAAACAAAACATAACTGTACAAACAGAACCCCGAACAGCCCTGACCCGCTACATAGCGCCCACCTAAGGGGTCAGTCGTCCCCGACGACCCCATTACCCCACACAAAGTCCTGCAAATGCCCAGGTGCCTTCTTTTGGCGCACCGGGGAAAAGTCACTCGGGTCAGAACATGGGGTGCCACCATCATCCCACTTCTGACACCAATGTGGCGAGCTCAGACAAGGAGGAGACGGAGGTATCGTTTGGTCTTGCTTCCCGTGAGCTAGCCAGGGAGCACAGCCGTTTATTGACATCTGCATAAGAACACTGCCGTTAGCTAACTGCTCAGCGCAGCAACAGCACAGCAACAACAACAACAGCAACACCACACAGGGCGCCCTCTGACCCCGGAAGGACACACCGTCGCAGCGAGAGGGCGTCACCCGTCACTATGGCAACAGAAACAAAACATAACTGTACAAACAGAACCCCGAACAGCCCTGACCTGCTGCTTTTACACACGCACTCACATAACGCTCAGCGATTCTCTGTGCGATCAACCTCTCATATGTTTAAGCTTGCTGCTGAGATTTCACTTGTCATGTTTGCATAGTAAGCTAACGATTAATAAGACGATGTCAGAGGAATTGGTGCGCAAATTATCATCACTCACCAATCAGTGCTGTCGCTCTCTATACACAGTTCGTGTGATTGCAAAGTGAAAGCAAAAAACAAGCAAATTCAAACGAGATTTCAATATGTCACATTGACAGTGGCTCACTGATGCCAATGACATAATTACCCAGCTACATTTCCGAAAGAATGCAAAAGCATTGACATATATTTTTCCTTCCTACGATAGGCCGATGGGCAGGGCAGAGATAGATTTTGGTAGCCCGACTGGAAAAATCGCTAGCCCCAGGACATCGGGCAGGCGATTTTGCGAGCCCTGTATCTGATTGAGGAATCACTCATCTTTGGAAAAGAGAGTTTATTACAGAGAAATGGCTCTTTCCAAAATAAAAGCTATACTATACGCTTCTTCTGGGCTATATTCTCAGCAGCATATTAAACATATCAGGTCCCCATAAGGAGAATCATGTGCTAACGGCTGTCTAAATGACTCGGGTAAAGTTTGTAGCATGCATGCTTGTTGTTTTTGTCTGCTTCCACTTGTCTTTGCACTAGGATGATGTCGGTGTAAATGTGCAGTCATATTTGTTGTGTTCCCACTAGTGCTGTCAGCGTAAATCTTGTTGAAATGACGTTAACGCCACAACATGGCAAATCTCCGATAATGAGCTACCGCGGATTGCCCGTGCATGGGGCTGGACGGCCAACATGTTAATGAGCTAACTGCGCTAACACACTAGCTCCCACCCATGTAATTGAGCATTGCATGGCACATCCAACATACTGTTTTACTTTAGTCCATGACAGGCTTACCTTCAGGGTCATACCTCACATGAAAATCAAAATAGTTCCAAACGCCAGATCTGAATGAGGGTGGGGGAGGTTCAATTTGCCATGTTGCAAGGAGAGCTTAACTTCTGTCTGCTAGCTTGCCCTGCGCTCAGTGAATCTGCGTTGGACTACTCCGCCTAGGCTGAACTGTCGAGCGCAGATCCACTGAGCGCTCAACACAGACAGCATCGTCAGAAGGAAAGTTGATAAAATAAATTAAAAATTTATTTTGTATTGTTCATACATATGCGTACCAAACCGAAAGCACTGTATCAAACGGTTCAATATCGATACCAGTATCGTTGCACCCCTAGTAAGCACATATGATTGCATATGTTTCAGGTGATAGTCATTAGTTGTGCATACTTTTAAAACAGCAGTGCAGAATATTTTCATGTTTTCATTTCAGAGAATACAGACATTAAAGACAAGTGGAAGTAATTGCTCAATTCTTTTATTAAAACTACCACAAAAGAGCTAAGAAATACTAGAAATGGACCATACAGTTAACTGGATATTTAAATTGAGTTGCTGTTCAGTTGTTTCTGCTCTCAAAACAATAAAAGTTGAACTGCACATTAAGTCCTTTCATTTTCTGTTTCCTTGAAATATGGCTCAGCTATGTGAGACCCCTCCTCCTCCTTTTAGTGCTTCTCCTCTCGATCGACTTGCCAGTTCTGGACATCACATACATAAGATTTAAAACCAGATTTTCTCCTCATTTTCCCCCTTGTCATATAAAAAGAAATTACAAAAACATAAGCCAATGTTATGGTTTTCTGGCAGGTTTCTCAGAAGCAGAAATACTGATTAGCAGGTCATGTGCTTTCTGTTTCCATGAGTTGAAACTAGCACGAGTGGTTGGAGTTTCAAATTCATTTTGTTTCCATTTTTGTTTTGGTGGAATGGAAACGGCGTAGGAATAAAACCCAGCAATTATTGTTTTTTCTTGACATTTAAACCATGAATTTAAGTTATATTGACAACAATAAAATTTTAGTATATCCATTTATGTGCTGAATCCTATGTTTTGGTGTAGTGTCTTGCTCCACTTAGAGCAAAAGAGTCCCCAAACATGGCAAAGAAAGTTTTTTCCAATTCTCATTTTCCATGCATTTCAACATTCACAAATAAATAGTATAAAGATACATTCTATATGTGTGGATCTGAGATTATATCATGGACTGGTAGTTTTCTGTCAAATCTATAGTTACAAGCACATTTCCCTTGTTAATATACAAATTATTGTGTATAAGCTGCATTTTAGCAGTGGCATATTTCCCTTTGGTATCAAGGGGTGCACACGTGTGTTCAGTACCACTGCAATGCACAAACTACATGTGCTGCTCTTGAGCTCTTGTGACAAGCTTCAAAAACAATGCAGTGATCCCCAAAATTTAAGAGTTAATGAGTTATTAACATCGGTCATGACCTTATACCTTGGAAGTGCTAGGCTTCTAAAAACTCTGGCCATGAGATACAATTACTCCTCCATCTGTAATTATGGATTCAGCCATTAAAAAGGTGACATGACATTGGTAACTAAACAACTGTTTAAAAAAAAAAAGGAACGAGGAAAAAGGAATAAAAAAAAATCAAAAATTTACCTTTTGTGCAGTCTGAAGTGAGATGCATCAAACACTTCCTTATTGGTCACCCTACCATTAAGATGACACCCAGCTGGCTACTGAACTGAGCCACAACTGCACTTTCGCTCGTTATTTGCTTTTTATGACAACACTCAGACAAATAAAGGCTGTGGTCTTAACCAGAAGAGCACTACAGAAGTATGTACTACTGAAACACTCGCAAACTACTCACCAGGTAGTAGTGAAACTGAGAAGTGCAATACAAACCATAATAAGAGAACATGTGCCTTCAAAGTAAAAGTACTGCCTTTTGTGCTATTAGCAATCTACTTGCGACAATGTTTTCGGTATAGTGGCATATGCTTCTTTGTGACCAATTTCATGCTAACCATTGCTGGAAACTCGTCCCCCACTTTTTAAAATAACAACTGGAGGTAGCCACATTGTTGTTGGTCAGTCTATAGGCCTATATGACTAAGGCCTAAGTGGGGACGTACGACTGAGGCAACTTCCTTAACTGGCATCATGTGTTAAAAGAAATAGACAAGTGAAAGTGGATGTAGTTGTTTTTCATCATCGACTTGAGACCCATTAGTTCAATTTTCTAGATGGATTTACCACCAGTGATGGAGTTTGTTTGAGCAAGTCTGTGCATATAAAATAAACCAAAGGGAATCCATGGTAAAGAGCTTTTCTGTTACCTGGTAGTGACTTGGCCCACTTGACTGCAGAGACAACCTGCTGTCCCCCTAGCCTGTTGAGAGTAGACATGAGCCGTGATGAAGTATCTGGCAGTGTGCTGTCATAGCCCGAGTAGATGATCTCTGGTTCTATGGCCTTCAGTATGGACAGCATGGTCGGCACGAGTTGGGGCATGCTCCTGGGTACGACTGGAACAGGCATGTTGCTAATGGTGGGCTCTGATGCCCCAGCCCGGTGCACTTTCATCTTGATCAGCTTTTTGTTTTTCCTTGCTGTGAGGTGAGACATAGCAATAAAAGAGAGGTACAGAAAAAAAAAATCAGAAGATGCTTCAATAAAATAAATTGTTCACAAGCATTGTGTTTTCTACAAATGTTTTGTGCAAGGTGCAATCAAAACAATTCAGCAATTCTATGCATAAAAAGCATAAACTCTACCTCATTTTACCTCATTTCAGGCTGACTGGCTAATTTTGACCTTTCAAGTTCCATCTCCTTTCTAGGCACTGCTATTGTTTTTAGATCGCTTTCTGAAAATCCTTCACTGTGCAGCTCAAAGATCAGTTATGACTCCAAGAACAAATGGGTTTTTTTCTTGGAAGAGTGTGCAGTGTCCAAGACTGAACATCAGTTCAAGAGCCAAAAATATTGAGCTCAAATGGTCTCTGCTGTGGTACATGCCCTTTGTGTGCTCAGCTGCAATATGTAATAGGTAGTATTTTTGCCACATAAACACAATTTTTGCCACACCTGCAGTTCTTCTGCAGATGTCCTCACAACTAAAAAAATAATGCAAGATAAAGGCTCGTGATTTTGACGAATTGGAGACCCAATGGGTATTGCAGACATACTTCTAGGAACAACAGCATCTCTGGAAGAGATCCAGACATGCACAAGGAGCAAACCCTGGACAGAAGGGTTGCTTCTCCATGGGCTGGGCAATGGAACTAAAATGAAAACTAAAATGAAAACATATACAGTCACTGAAACTAGAACTATAAAAACAATTGAAATAAACTGATCTGACCAAATTCTCTGGCTCTAGAAACACACAGAATACAAAAAAGTTACTTTGTGACATAAAGACAGGCTATTATGTCCTGAAGTGAATAATCAACTCAAAATTAGCTTTCACTGTTTTACTGCACAGTGTAATTAACCTAGAAAAATCAACACTGTAATGCATCCATGTACTGTATAAACACTTCTATATTCCCAGTTAACGTTAATAAGTTATTTAAGTTACACGCTTGCTTCACCCCACCTTACAACATGGATGAAGAAATTTCACTTTGAGTTTTAACAAACCAGTTAAAGATCAGGAGAGTGCCACATGCTGGTCTCTGCCCAGCAAATAGTTACAAAATCACAAAAAGAATTCCATTTATGACGACATATGACTTAACAGTGGATTTTTCTTGTTGTTTTTTTTGTTTTGCAGCTTCTCTCCATCAGTGTGACATCAGTGAAACAACAGATATGGCAAATTGCTGTGTTTTTTGCCCACAACTGTACATTATCTAAGCCTCATTTGAACATTTCCTGCTACTAAATGTACAAAACGTCAGACTTTGAGAGGTTACCATGAAAAAACATGTTTTTCCTACTCTACCTTTTTTAATTTCCTCTCTTGGTGTTTCTATGGCAACTAAGAGCCTTTCTGCTGGGAGTCTGTCTGCTGATGCATTGACTTCCATCAAATCCCTCTCTCTGTCTTTGTTCCTCTCACTCTCTGTGAACCTACCTTCACCCTGTGACCAAAACTGCACTTTTAACATGTAATCTCACTCAACGCTGATTCATACAAACTAGTAACAGCAATTTCATTCCCCTTAGGGAGCATCAAGCAGAAACAGCACAACAAGCAGGTTCTTGGTTATAAAGCTGTTGTTTTGGTTACAACCTGTTGCTTCCCAAAAATGTGAAAGATCATCAGGTAATAGAAGTTTTGGAGGCTTGGACTTAGGAGTGAATTAAGCAGTGATCAGTGTGAACCATATAGAACAATAAAGGCCATATTAGCCATCAGGCCATATTTAATCTATTCTTGTTTTTTTCCTTTGTTCTTCCTTTATTTTTATACTAAACTACTAATCTCATCTGTACTCTAAAATGTTCTTTACATAGTCAGTAATCTGTCATTTAGCTCAATTTTAAAGCTAAAATAAAAGAATGATAGTTTACCTATTTCGGGGGGAAATTTCTGTGCCATTGGATTCATAAAGTGTGCGTGTGTGTGGGGGAGGATATGCGTGTATTCACATCGTTTATGTTAATGAGAGTGTGGGGAGTGAGTTGGAGGGTGGGGTGGGCTGCTTTTAACCATGTAAAGCACTTTGTGCTACATTTTTTTTGTATGAAAAGTGCTTTATAAATAAAGATTGATTGATTGATTGATTGATTGATTGATAACAAATTTAAAGTGAAATAAACTACTGTGCAAAAGTTTCAAGCCACTCCAATTTATTTATATCTTGCTAAAAAAAAAAAGGGAAATAAGTGCAGCAATTTATTGAAATGTGTGCAAACCTAACTGGAAAACCTGGATTTAAGGCAAAAATAGAGCCAATATATGGTTTAACCACCTTTACTTTTCACCACAGCTTTCTTGTAATTAAAGTACTCTACTAAAGTTATTTGGATACTGACTGCTTTTTTTCCCTTTCTACCAGGATGATCACACACTGGTTCAATAATGTTGAGGTATGGTGTCATGGTCCTGGGTCGTTGACCCAGCGTTTTGTGTTTATTCTGATTTTGTATTAGTTTAGGGTTGAACCTGAAGTTTGGTGTATATTCAGCCCTACCTGTGTCTGTCCTTGGTGCTCTGTTCATGTCCCCGTGTTGTGTTGTAAATCAGTCTGTGTGTTTCCTGCTTTACTTTGAAGGCTCGTGTCCTAGAGTTCCTGTTTTGTTCTGAAAGTCTGTGTCTGTTGTCATTGTGTTCAGCTTGTCTCCTCCGGTCCTCATGTGTATTAGGTTCAGCTGTTCTTCCCTCCTGTGTGTGATTACCTGATTACCTTGTGTGTGTGTATATTTAGTGGGTGTCGGTCTGTGTTCGTTGTCGGCTCGTCTGCGTTCTATGGTGTTCCGTTCCTGTCTCTGCCCTGCACCCCTTTTGTATGGTCTCAGGTTCGTCATTTAGTTCTCCCAGTTTAGGTTTCTTCAGTTGTTTTGTCATGCCTCACTGCCTGTTTTTGCCACTCCACCACTTGTAAATAAACATCACTCGAATCATCAGTCACTGCCGCATTTTGGGTCCTCCTTTTCCTCCAACACCACACGGCTCACCCCGCCAGCCGTGACATATGGTCTCCTTAGACCAATCCATGAGTGTTTGTGTTTTTCATTTTTTATACGCTTTTATTGTACAGGCAGTGTGCTTGGGATCGTTGCTGCACTAAAAAATTTAGCTGTTGCTAATGAGATGCTTTCCAAATGTATTGCATGGCTAATCAAAATCTGACGCTACTTCTCTGTGTTTACAATTCAATCAATTTTGACAACACTGGCTGAAATGCAGCCCCAAACCATGACAGATCCTCCACTACATTTTACAGATGGCTGTATATGCTCACTGTTGGACCTCTCGTCTGACCTCCTCCATGCATACTGATGATAATTTGAACCAGAATTTTATTCAAATTAGTATCATTCAGTCGATAAGACGTATTGTCAAAGATTTTCTGTTCAGTTCTTGTGTAATTTGGCCTCCGTTTACCTCATTTTCTATGATTTCCATTCCTTATGAATGATTTCATGGCAACCACTCTTTCACTGAGACCACACTGCTAGAATGCGCCTTTCTTATTTGTTGTTACAGCTCTGTATCACTGGCTTCCTTTTACTAAGTAATGTGATTGTTTGTTTTTGCAATCAGAGTTATATGTGCAAGCTCCTTATCCTGATTGGTGTTTCCACTTGGCTCATATTCACTAGATCATCTGGGATTTGGACCAGAGACCTCTTGCAAGAATTATACTGCCTAGACCAGAGTTTCTTTAAATGAACCACTGCAAGTAGAACATGGACATCCAAGGAGAAAGTGTGACACTAAGTGAAATTAATACTTGAAGGGAAAATTAGGTTACTGGTACAATTAATTTCATTAAATGAACCAATTTGGATCAGTTTTTATTAATGATTGATTACAAATTGTGTGGGACATGAACTTTTTTCAGCTTCTGAAGTTGGGGCTTCCCGAAAAACTTTAAGAACCACTTCCCTAAACTAAAGCTGCTCGCACTGAATCACAGCTGCCCCGAATGACAAATTGGCTGCACTTTGAAGCAGCTGTAGGGATTACTGCTGCAGTTTGGCTGTGGCGCTGGTCTAGTCATGGTGGAAGCCAAGATGAAAGAAGAGCAGTCAATATTATAGGCTGAACATAAGCCAAGTGGAAGCACCAATCAGCAACAAGCCCTTGCACATACAGATGAGAGTCCAAGAAAAGAGTAATTCACACTTTAAGAGAAGAACTGCAACATCCACCTTTGTGTGAATGATCCAATCAAAGCCTGCTGGAAATATAACCAGCACAGGTACTTTACTTTACTTCACAATATTGCACATAAGACAAGATAAAGATGCCCAGTTTTTCATTAAAGCATTGAACGTTGGCTGGACTCATTTAAAGATGGGTCTGATCATTTACCTTCCAAGTTCATTCCAGCTTGAAGACATTTTCTGAAGCGGCAGGCTGGACAGTTCTTCCTGCGGATCTTATCAATGATGCAGTCATTTCTCCCTGCACACAGGTAGTTGTGCTGGCCTGTAAATAGAAGAAGGAGAAGAAGGAGGGGGGAAAGAAGACATTAGCTAGCAAAGAATGTTTGAGAAGGATTAGCACGAGCAATATCTATGACCACACTAATCACCTGTTGTACAGTAAGCCTAACAGGCTTGTGGGATCCCTTTGGTGTTAACAGCTTCACTTCCACAACTATGCACTTAGACTAGACAGCAAAATCCACGCCATTGGTCTTTGAGAGTAACGCACAGTCCATATCATTACATACATAACATTCCTATTATGGAGCATGCACCAGATTCTAAAACAGGTCCACATTTGATTATAGAGCATGGATACTTTTGATTTCTTAATAATCCTTTGTTACACAAGAAGGAACAGTTGATTTGTGACCACAATGAGGAAGTCATGTAAAGTCAATCACCACCTAAACTACTTTTTTTTTTTTTTGGGGGGGGGGGGGGGGGGGGGGGATATTTGCAAGCAATAGTTTGTTGTTAAAGAATTATGAATGCATATATAATTCTATATTTTACAGATGTGCACAGCTAGTTCCTGGTTGCACTGAAACTTCTTACTCGTTTAATGTCTGTAAATTCATTGAAGACATACTAAATGCTTTCATATTGTGGCAGTATGGCTTACGACAGTGCAACTTTGATCCTCATTGCAAGTGTACAGCAGAAGGACAAACATGCCTGAGGATGAATTTGGCATTTCGTACATTAACATTGTCTCTTGAACACTTTCAAGATCACAATCTGCAGCATTTTGTCAATATAATTGTCAGGTCTGTATTTTTTAGCTGTGAAAGGCCTCACTAAATCATTGGGCTGTTGCTCAATATTTTATGGGCTATGCTTGAAGATCTATTTTATGTCTCAGTTATGTAGTCTTGATGCAACAGCGTTTTTGTTCCAGTGCATGTAACACTTATACGACAGGACCTGGAAGCATCACATTAATCACTTTCCTTCTAGCAACAGATATGCTTTTTATTTTTGTGATGACTATTCAGTAGATAACCTATGCTGTGGAATTGGTCATAGTTTAAAGTTTCACTGTGACACTTCTTTGAAATCAAAATGGGATGATTAACTAGAAGTGTCTTTGATTTTCCCCATATGAGTAACTAACCCAACCAAGAATTTTATATGAAGTGTTGGTGGTGTTTACTCTGAAAAACAGACCATGGGCAGTTATTTAGAAAAGTTGCAACTAATTGACATCTGCCAGAGCAAAGGATTCACAATTTTTTTACCACTTCCTTCAGTTACCAGTCACTGTCAACTGAAAGTCAGCACATTTCTACATTTCATTTCCACTGGCTTTACATAGAAGTCTGCTTTTCTCACAGTTGGAATTGTGTGTCATTGTCTGAAATAAGACTGCTTATACATAGGACACACTATAAAATGCACAAATCACAAATTAGAAGAGTTAAAAAATATATCAGGAATGCAGGCTACTTTTTCGACTTTGTGTTTACTCACTGGATTTGTGCTGCAAAGCACCAAGCGTCAGACTATAGTCTGCTCCAGCTCTGCAACACAAAAACATCCCTCCTCTATCATTTGTGGTGTTCTTGTGAAAAATTGTTTGATAAGTTCATCCAATCTTATCAATCGAATATGTCCGTTCTATGCAATTGAATTTCTACATTGTAGCTTACTATGGTGGGGAACGGTGAAAAGCCTACTTATTAGTCACTCGTGTTATAATAGCATTACTCATCATGGTGTAATGGCTGTTCTACACATTATAACGAGTGGCAAAAGCAGAGGATTCAATAAATAGTCTTTTCATGTTACTGAAACTCATTATAATAGATGATACAACAAACTCTCCAGAAACCATTCATTTATTTTTTTATAGACCCGCTGAAAACCTTCTGCATGATTGCAGAAAAACTCATTGACTGTATACAAAGTCACCAGCGTCAGTATTCCCCCTAGGGTGGAGGATGAACACTGATCTCCTAATCTACCCTGATCTTTAAAATGTAATGCTTTTGATGCTTTTTGACCTAAAGGGCAGTGTGTGACAACTTAAATTTCGTGGGCACTTAAAAAGGAAAGGAACACTATATAAATATGAAGAGAAGCACTATATAAAAAGAATCATATTATTCAATTGACAACATAAAAAAAATAGTACGTGCCTTTGTATACAGCAAAGCTTATCCAGTGCTGTTTTCTTGCACATTTGACACATGTTTCAGGTCATAAAACAAATTTGAATATTAGATAAAGACAAGCAAAGTAAGTATAAAGTAAGTAAGTATAAAATGGTGCTTTTAAATGATGATCTAAGCCTCCCTGTCCCTTTGTGAATAACTAATTGCCCCCTAAACTTAATAACTGGTTGTGCCACCGTTGGCATCAAGAGCTCCAATCAAGTGTTCAACTGTCATTGAGCCTTTTACATTACTGTGGAGGAATTTTGGCCCACTCTTCTTTGTGGAATTGTTTCAGTTCAGCCACACTGGAGGGTTTTCAAGCATGAATGACCTGTTTTAAGTTAATGCCAAATCATCTCAATCTGATTGAAATCCAGAGCCTTAACTAGGCTTAATGAAGCTCTGCTAACTCTGATATTCCCTCTCTATTTACAAGTAACTTCTTTACAACAGTAGCATCCTGCTGGTCCACCAGTGGGCAGCTCATACTGTGAAGAATGAGCAGCAGGAAGGGTTTGGTTTGCATTAACAAGGAATGAACATGGCTGAAAATGATCGGTAAACAGTAAAATATGTTCACAGATATGGTTGTACAAACAGGGATGCATACAGAAGCTACAGTGATCTAGGCAGAAGCTGAAAAAGAACTGAAGCTTAAACAGAGTCATTTTCCCCTGCCTGCCAGCACATACACAGAGAAAATTAGCACAAAAAGCAGGGATCAGCGCTGCTATATTGCATATTACAGGTGGCGAAACTAATCCAGATGTCCACATAGAAATCATGATAAACGCGCTACGAAACCCAGTAATAATCATAATATTCCACAATAAAAATTGGTGGTGTGATGACAAGATTGGAGCTGCATGTTGCAGCCGTCGCTGATATCACAGAGAGTCATTGCAAACAATGGCGTAAACAGCCATCTGTAGTGTCAAAAGTGCCAACTGAATCCCACTGGTATTCTCCCTCCCTTATCCTGCCCTAATCTGCTAACAAGGGTCTGGCACGACCCATCAGCAGTGGATGGTGAAGCCCGTAGCTGAGTTTGTAACCAATACTGGCATACAGGGTTAGTGGTTGGCACTGTGAAGTCACAGTCAGGAGGTCCTGAGCTTAAATGTGACCAGTGGAAGGGAATCCACTTTTTGATTCTGTAAAGGTAAACCACCAAATGTTTAGTATTTCATAATTCGCTTTATAATTAACAGAAGGAAAAATGTAACTACAGGGGTGGCAGAGGTTTCATTTCTCATGACAGATCTCAGGAAGTAATGTGGGTTAAGTGCTGAAAAAACAGACCTAACTGGAGACAGCATGTGATTGCGTTTAGATCTATCATCGTAGAGGAAGATAAGATGAGGGGCATTCCAGACAGAAAATGAAGAGTGCAAAAATCATTCACAGGCAATTTATGCTGATTTAAATGACCAAATCAGTACATTTGCATGCATTAACAGATAGCTGGCGGAACAGGCTATGCATGTTTCTAGACAGATTGATCAGTGCTGAAAAAGTACAGGGGACATTGGCAAATCATGAATGCTAAAATTTCCATCATCATCATCAAAATAATAATCATTATTATTACTATCATTATTACTATTATTATTATTAAAAGTGTATTTATTTACCATCTGTGTTTTGTCGTGCTCTCCATCCTTCCCCATAGAGACAATGACCAGAGAAGGAAGAGGGGGAGAGAAAAACAAAAATGACAGGTATGACTTTCTCATTATTACTGTAGGCAGTGAAATTGCACTTCATATCGAATGCTTGGCAGTTACACCAGCACTGCATAACAAATACCGACATGCTGGATAACCGTTAATCATGATCTTAGTATACCATAGAAGTAAATATCGTAGATATCAGGATATAATTCAGGGCATACCAAGGGTTCTTGTTTCCAGTTTCAGTCTATCTGTATCAGTTTGTCTGATACTTTTTTCCTTTTCTATGTTGGAGACTGTGAAATGTTTCTATAATAAATTCCATTAAAAACCGGCCCAGTTAATCCTTAACTGCTGCAGAAGTCAAATAATCCATCTACACCGTGTCCCCAAATATTCAGAGTAATGATTTCCCTAAAGCAAGTCTGATCGCGAGGTATTCTTTCACCAGCAACGCATAGAAATGAAAGAAAAGGACAGGGCTATGTTAACTGATACCTGAAATTAAGTGAGTCATTTCTGTGCATATTCAGTAAGTTTGGGCAATGATAAATTGAAGTTGATGTCTTAGGGTTAGGGTTAGTCGCTAATAATGACTTAAAATACACCTCAGAAAACCCTATCTAAGCAACCTGTAACACATCTGCAGAGGCAGCTTGTAGAAAGAAAGGGAATGGAAAGAGAGCAGAAGAGAAGCTCAGGGATGAATGCATGACAGTAAAAGCATTTAATGCAAAATACGGTTTGTCAAATGCATTCTTGCCCGTCCCTCCAAAGCATTCTGACACACAAACCATTTAGAGATAAATATGCACATTGAAGTACATATGTAGCTAACCTTTTCTTACTTGTTTGTGCACATATTAAATAGGTCTATGTAACCACTGTGATTCAACAAAAATATAATCAAATAAAATCAAATACCTTGCCTGTACCCCATTAGAAGATACGCTCACTAGACATTTCATTAGGTACACCTGCTCAACTGCTTGTTAACACAGATATGTACACAGAAAGCTGCATGGCAGCAACTGGCTGGTCTGAGTATTCTGAGCTGAGATTTTCCCACAGAACCATCTCTGGGGGCTACAGAAAATGGTCCAATAAAGAGAAAACATCTAATGAGTGGCAAGTGTCTAGAATGCCCTGGCATTCTCTGGGTATTTTTTCCAGAGGTCAGAGGAATGGCCACCGTGCTTTGAGCTGCTAGGAAACCAACAATAACTTGTTCCAATCAAGATATGGTGAAGAGTATCTCCGAACGCACAGCATGTCAAACTCTGATGCAGATGAACTACAGCAGCAGAAGAACCCACAAGGTCCCACTCCTGCCAGCTAAGAATGGGAAACTAAAGCTACAAATTCACATGGACTCAACAAAATTGGACAACTGAAAACATTTGAAAACAACAGGGTCAGAATTTAGTGTAAACAACATGAAAGCATGGATCCCTTCTGTCTTGTATAAAAGCGGTCAGGCTGGTGGTGGTGTTGCAACAGTGTGGGGGATACTTTCTTGGCACATTTTTGGTCCCTTCACACCAACTGAGCATTGCTTAAACGCCTCAGCCTCACAAAGCTTGAATAATCCCAAGCACATTGGCCTGTGGTGGAACCGGAGAGTCTTATCAGCCAACAAATCTGCAGCGATTGTGTGATGCTAACAGGTCATGTACTGAAATCTCTGAGGAATGGTTCCAGCACCTTTCTGAATCGATGCCATGAACAATTAGGGCAAAGGGGGTCTAAACCAGTATGGTAAGGTGTACCTAATAAATTGGCTAGAGAGCGTGGCCACTTTATTGGAAAGCTGGAAAAGAAAATGGAAAGATGATATTTCTGGATTACGGCCTTTCCTCTGCACGCTTTTGTTTTGTTGGTAATCAAAACCAGTTGTAAGCAGTCCCTGCTTTGGGGCATAACAAACAAGAAGGGGAATAAAAGAGGTGGAGAAATACAACTAATGTACTAAACCCACAAACAATTGAAGAAATAAGATCTCACCCTGCACTCTACTATTCAACTGTGACCCTGAACTTGGAGAAATCATTAAATTTTCTTCTTCAGGACAGAGCAGAGATGTGCAGAAGCATCAAGAGCTGTAGTGTAACGGGAGAAAACTTGTAATAAATACTAGCAATTTAGTGCATATGTATATAAGCATATGTAATTTAAACATCCATAGTACCATCATTCAAAGTAAAACTGAATTTCCAGCATTAATGAGGAGTGTGTCGTGTCTGAGTGATTGAGGCAGTGGGTGCAGATTGCGGGAGACCAACCTTCAACGGCTCTCTTGAAGAAAACCTTGCAGCTGCCACATGTTACAACCCCGTAATGGCATCCAGAGGCCTCATCTGAGCACACCAAACAGATCTTATGAGTCTGCCCGCTGGTCTTGGATTGGGCAGGTACCACAGAGCTGCTGATCTCTCCTTCTCTGGGTGATGAACTGTAATATGTAGAGAGAGGAAAGAGGGGGAAAACATGTGTCAAGAATGCTGATTTGCAGCATGGAAATGTCATGTGTAGGGTGACTCATTCACACCACCTTTGAATGAGCCCAAATTTAGTCATGCAATTTTCTGTAAACGGATCCCAAATATACACAGTATTACAGAGACAGAACAAAGAACCGACTCAAATCTTAGGGTGATAAAAAAAAATGCATCCCTCATCGGAATTCAAACCCTCATAGTGTTTGCAGTGTTTTCCCCAGGTTGACACAACGCAATGATGAGCCAGATGTCTTTTCATTAATGAATGCTTAAAGTGAAAAACAAATCAACTCTAAGCCAAATCCAATGAAGCCTATCACTAACAGCTTCTCTGTGCTGTATCTAGGCTCTAAATCTCAGTCCAATCTTCTAAGTGTGTTACGATACAAAGTAAAGAATTTTATACTTCTTGTGTAATCACACACAGTCATACACGTTGTTATTTCCAACTGAGAGATTTACATACATGAAGTGCACTGTGAGGCTTAACTAGTCACTAAGACCAACTTGACAGCTGCACTGCAAGTTAAGTGGCAGGATGCAAACCAAGAATACATTACGTCTGCTGTGTTCGACTGACACTGCCGTGTAATCCATCACAGGAATTTGACCGCATTAAAGGACTTAAATCTTTCCCCTGTTGTTTGTTTTGGTAGCACACTAGTTGGAATGTATATGGGGATTATGTAATAGGATTAGCTTGCTAAGCCTGACAATGACTTTGCGTTTAGGTCCACAGATATCTTGGCTCCAGTGCTGATACAACATCACTTCTCAACTAAGGCTTCAAGTGTTTTGCTGTCCATTTTCTCCACATGTTCAATCAGAACTGGAAAGTACAGTGGATTACATTAACTGGAACTCTGAATCCACCTCACAGATCAGCAGCACTGCTATCTAAAAAAGCATGACCCAAATTCACAGGGCCTAGTTTCTGATGGTCACTGGAAAGACGACACTTGCTTATGTAAATTGGACCGCAACCAAGGGGAGTAGCGTTGATGGATCTTGGAAGACACCTTAAGCTAAGATGTCTATTCATATCTATGGTGAGCTAGTCAAGATGACTCCAACGCAGCCAAGTTCGAATGGTATCTGGATTCGGAATGCAGTCCCAGCTAAACTTCTGATCCCCATCTGAGCAAAGTATGCAATCACAAAACACAGAATACTTTTTCCACAAGTACTGTTCCATTGCACCACAAAAATAAATGCACCTCTGTTAAATATGCATACCTCAATTTCAGACCTAGTTTTCTGCATCACTATAACCTCAGAGGCTAAGTATGGTTCATCAAACCCACAAATTGAAACTATTAGGAGTTTCAGCTGGAAGTACAGTAATCTGCTTCAATAGTCTAATCAAATTTGGCACATATAGGTTACGTGCAGACAATGTATATACAAAACAGTCCTTTTCCCCTTATTGTTCAGTTGATCCTGTACATAGTCCATATATTAGGACACACCAGTGATCCTGATGCAAGATGGGATTACTTATAAGGATTTTTATAACAACTGAATGACTGCTAATTTTAATTACATGATATGTCAGTTAAAAGGCTATTGTCATTACATAGCCAAAATATGCTAGTGTGTGTGCTACATTCGGATCCTTCCTTAACACAAGGGATCTGGCAGAGTTTTACACAAATATACTGATGGGCGATTATTTTTCATTTCTGCTACAGTCGTGTTTTCAAAGGGCTCGATGCGGTCCTTTCACAGGACTTTTTAAATGAGTTGTTTTAACAATGAGGATCATACCAAAAACAAACATCTATGCTATTTGTTCATCATCAACCTGGCAAACAACTCCACTTGTGGTGTCACAGCTTTTCAAATCTGAAGTCATTAGGTAAATCATTTCCAGCATGAGCAACTGAGCCATAATCGTAAGGAAACAAACACAGAATACCTCATTATGACAGGTATTGCATAATATTGTAAATTAAGTCTATAAAATTTGCTTTTGCAAATGTGGAATTTCCCCAACACGCCCATTTGGGATGCTACAATGAAAATTCAAGCAGACCTTAAAAGAGTTAAAAGCCCAAGCATTTCAGTGGACATAAAACCCTTTATTTCTTTTTTTTCCCGAGAGGTTTGAATATGAGTGTGAATGGTTTGTCTGTCTCTCTGTGTTAGCCCTGAAGCAGACTAGCAACCTGTCCAGGGTGTACCCTGCCTCTCATCCTATGGTCGTTGCTTCTAAGGATAAACGGAAGAGTATAGACTGATGGAAATCAAATCAACTTTCAATGTGTTTAAACTTTATTTGCCACACTGGAACTCTGTGAATGTTGGCAAATGCTCCTACTATGTGCTCATCTTTCTGGTGCTCTCATTACTCGTCTACTTAAAGGAGCAACTGACGAAACTGTGGACACTTATTATGGGGCAGAGCTTGAGCTGTAAATATCTGGACTTCTAGGAGACCACAAAAAAGTGGCCAGTGAAGTGGGAGACCACCTGTGACCAATCATCCGATTTAAACAAATGTAAACACAGAAGTTTAGAAAGACTGACAAATGCAGGCACCTCATCCTCTGCAGCTGAAGTGGAGGCAATGTGTCTGTTTAGATTTTCAGCCATCTAGCTCACAATTGTAGTTGATCTTATTAAAACTGAAGAAGTCTCTTGCACTGGCAAATAATACAGCTAGCTTTCATGTTCCCTGTTTGTCATGAAAATGTGACAAAATATCAACTGCTTGGGAAGAAGAGGGCAGTAGACATATGGACACATTTTGTATTTGATATCACTGAAAAGAAGATGCTTTGAAAACCATATGGAGCAACCCTCATGACCAACTTTTACACTTTTTATTTTGGGTCAACTGAATAAATCTCATATTGAGTCTACTATAATGTTATAATATTTAATCAACTTAAGCTAGATTAAAAATAAAAGAATTTAGATGCCAAAATTATGGCTAAGACTAAAACAAAATATCCTGTCAAAATTAACACAACTGCAATGTAGAGTAGCTATATGTTTAAAAAAATTATCTTATCACTTCTTTTATTCTCATTTTTAATGTTTAAAAGTTCAGTAAACAACAACAACAAAATGTCACATGCTACAAATTTCTGTTCTGGTCTGTTACGGCATGACTCAACTGCTGGTAATGTAAAATGACCACAGGGTGGTGTTTGGATTAAAGATTTATAACCCCCCACCCCTACTTGCGAGCCATTTCATATGCTCCTCCCACTGCTGAGACATCATGTGTGGCTCTGAGCCATGTAGCACAGAGTCAAGCCTCATTAGGAATGCATACTGGGCTAGAACACAGCAGACGTGCACACAGTCGATCGTTCTCTGATGCACACACTCACACGGGCAACAGGGTTTGTATGTACTGACAAACAAGCCAACTCTGCACAGTGATTAAGACACAAAGTGCCAAATGTACACATGCAGAAAAGAGAAGTGTATTAACCCACCTACATACGCATTAACCAATACTTTCCAGTGGGGGGGTTTGAGGAAAAGGCACGAATAAACACAAAAAGCAGGTTGCAGTTCATGGCCCTTTGCTGCTCTTTCATCACCCAAACTGCCTTTGGAACGTGTGTGTGTGTATTTGTGATTTACTGCACAGACTTTGCTGCATCAGTCTAGAACCTGGTCTTAAAAGGCAAATGAAGGAAAGTAAAGGCTGGGCCATGATGACAGTGACTTCCCACACCCTTTTACTTCTACCTACAAACATCGCTTTCGCTGCGTGCGTTTGTGTTTGAACACATGCTAAGAAAGAGTATGTGTCTAAAAATAGCATATGGTGTTCATTGTAAACTACATTCCATTAAAATGGATCCTGATTTATAACTAATTGCAGTAACGTGTTGTTTAATGGACACCAGTAAAAATTATGTGATATAGCAGTAGAAGACATAGAGCAGCATGGACAACAGTCTTAAATAAATAAATTGCCCGTAGCAACCATGGAGAGACTGCGTGAACTGAGCTGACCTGATCTGTCACTGGGGAATCATATAGCAGTAACTACAGTGGGAACTGATATACAGTAAGCCTAGTTTTTCCATTCAGATCAAAGCTTTTTTAGGCTAATGTGTGGGAGCAGAAAGTATGAGGTGCCCATGGGAGGGATGTAGAAAATAAGAGCATTCACAGTGTTGGATCCTGACGCATACCGAAAGTGACTGTAGCTGCTCCATTCGATAAAACGTCAACATTTTTATGTGGAATTTTTAACTGACAAGCAAAAAATAAAAAGCTGTTTGGACACTGATTTATGATTTTAACTGAGATTTGCAGGTTTATTTTAGATATATTTGATTGTAAATATGTAATTTTTATGAATGATATTTGCAAAACAAAACAAAACAACAAATGCTGCAAATAATTCTTGACACGTAGCACAAGTTTCAAATTTGAAATCTGTTGTGTAACAAAAGCCCTGGGTTTTGAAAAGAAAGGAAGTCTGACAGTTTCACATAAGATGGCACAGGAAAAGTAGCCTGCGTCCCTGCTCTAGCAAATATTAGTCAGTGTAGTAAAATATAAAAACAATAAGTCTGTTCTCCATTTTTTAAGCCATTGTGTAATTTTACCGTTTTACTGTACTCTTCCTTTGTTGCCTCTTGCTACTCTCACTTCCTCACTCTCTTCACATCCGTCTCTCTCTTCCTCTCTCTTCCTTTCTCACTGCTCACCCCCCTCACTCTACCTCATTTTCCAAGTTATATAATATTCGCATTACGGCCGCTGGGGCGGACGCCCTCCAACCCCACCCCAGCCCGGCCTCTCAGCCAATCCAGATTCACTACTTGCAGGGAGTATGGAGGAGGTCAGGCGAGTCATGGGATTATCCAACTCACCTACCCGGGAACGGGAATACATGGCGTACGTGTGTGTGTGTTTTCAGTTTGTGTTGCTAATAGGAACCTGTGTGGGTTTGTTGATCTGGTCTTCAAATTACTTAAGC